TATATAATCTAAAATTATATCACTTGCTCTTTGTAGTCTCTTTAATCTAAACAGCAGGTCCTGGATCAGATTGTTCAGTGAGTTTATGAGTCACTCACTGTTTCAAAAGAATGACTGTGTTTCCTTTACTATCACTTCTTACATGAGATTTAAACACTTTAATGTAAATATTGATTTAATTGGCTTTTTTTAAGGCTTGAAGAGATAAAGAACAATGGCAGAATCTTCACATAGCAGGTTTTGGCTTTGTTTGCGTGTGCAGACCGATCGGTGTATGGCATCAAAATACCATACAGACGGTTCCTTATGCTTTCAAAATGCTCTCGAGGTATTTTGATGTCATACACCGATCGGTCTGCACACGCAAACAAAGCCAAAACCTGCTATGTGAAGATGGTACATTACCTGCTCATAAAATATGAAATATTTAATATAGTAAGGAGGTACACTTATTTGATCATAGTTTTTATTGTAGCAAAACACAAATACAAAGGTAAAAATATAAACAGAAAACCTACTCTAAAAATATACAGAAAGTATATACATAAGGCAAAGATCAAGTTTAAATTACAATATAAAAAGCTAATTTTAAACAATGTGCCAGTGTACCTTGTGCAAGAACTGTAAACAATTGTCTGATATACATGAAAAAAATGTAAGTGAAAATGTAAGCAGCAAACTTTAAACAATGTGCAAATGTATGTAGTGCAAAACCGATATACAAAAGACAAATACAACAAAAATAAATGTAAACGTTATCAAAGTACAAAAAAGGTGCAAAAACGCCAGACAGTTCTATTCCCTTCAGCCACTCATTGCCTGGACAAGCATCCCCATAACGTTGAGGAATGCTTGATTGAAAGCAGCCGTTTGAGAGTGTTCCTCTGCCCTCAAGGCCGCTTCCTGCTCCCTCGATTGTCTGGCCTCTTCAAGTGCCATCTGCAAGTGATGCAGTCTATTTTCAGTTCCTCAAAATAGCAATGCACCTGAACATACCTCTTTTTCAGACCAGCATGCCATGCGCGCAAATGCATTTGCTATTTAAAGGAACACTCCACTTTTTTTGAAAATAGGCTCATTTTTCATTGGGGAAGTCGTGGCCTAATACGAGTTGGACTCGTAAACCAAAGGTTGCGAGTTCGACTCTCAGGTCCGGCAGGGATTGTAGGTGGGGGGAGTGAATGTACAGCGCTCTCTCCCACCTTCAATACCAAGACTGAGGTGCCCTTGAGCAAGGCACTGAACCCCTGACTGCTCCCCGGATGCCGCAGCATAAAAGGCTGCCCACTGCTCCGGGTGTGTGTTCACAGTGTGTGTGTGTTCACTGCTGTGTGTGTGCACTAAGGATGGGTTAAATGCAGAGCACTAATTCCTAGTATGGGTAGCCATACTTGGCCACATGTCATGTCACGTCATGTTTTTCCGACTCTCCTAGAGTTAAACAGTTGAGTTTTACCGTTTTCGAATCCATTCAGCCGATCTTCGGGTCTGGTGGTAGCACTTTTAGCTGTAGCTTAGCATAGATCATTGAATCTGATTAGACCGTTAGCATTTCTCGCTCAAAAATGACCTAAGAGTTTCTATATCTTTCCTATTTAAAACTTGACTCTTCTGTAGTTACATCGTGTACTAAGACCGATGGAAAATGAAAAGCTACGATTTTCTAGGCCGATATGGCTAGGAACTATACTCTCATTCCGGCGTAATAATCAAGGAACTTTGCTGCCATACTATGGGTTTGCAGCAGGCGCAATGATATTACACAGCGCCTGAAAATAGTCCCAGCTAGGTAACATCCAATAAGCCTACTTTCAGGCCCTGCGTAATAGCATTGTGCCTGCTGCAACCATAGTACGGCAGAAAAGTTAGACCATGTGCTTAGATTGTTAAAATAGGGCCCTAGACCAGGTTTGAGTTGGTCTATGGCGCAGTCTATTTTCAGTTCCTCAAAATAGCAAGGCACCAACAATGCGCCTGAACACACCACTTTTTTAGACCAGCACGCCCATGAGCGCACAAATGGGCACAAATGCAGTTGCTATTTAAATAACGCGGCGCAGGAGGAAAAATGATAACTGTGTCTGGCTGAAAATAGCAAAAACACAATATACAGTATACAGCAGATAATAAAATAATTTCAGCTTGAATCAAGAATTATGGTTCATGTATTTATTTATTTGGTAACTGGTTGTGTAATGAGCTTCATGTTTGCGTTCTGATCAACTTTTCTGGGTTCATTTTGCAATAATGACAAGCTGACTGTACATTATCTCTTACATATCGAGTTTCTCCAAAGTCGCCACTCTTTGTCTCTAGACACTCTTTATATTCAACCAGCTTCATGAGATGCATCATGGGATTCATTAAAAACATTATTGGAATTCACACTAATCCTAAATAATGTCTCTTTCCAGAATGTCATCTTCCAGTGGTTCACTGACTGAGGAGCTTCAGTGCTCTATATGTCTGGACGTATTC